CCAGTGGGCCATTTGATTACAGCTGAATCTTCCTTCCTGTATATATCTTTAATTAACCTTCACCTTGACAATGGACAGCATATCTTGTGACTTATCTGATGTAAGGAAATCAGGAGTTATCTAAATAGCCCAGTGAAACTTTCTTTATTGTTGTGGAGGAAACCAGTTTTAGAAAATAATTACTATGTCCTATTTTAGAAAATAATTACTATGTCCTACCATACCTGTGTTTAATTGAGACTACTATGTAAATCTTTGTATATCTACCTCACCTTTGTTTAATAGAGACGGAAAATTACTATGTAGCCGCCTTCATCTACATTTTATGGTTTATATCCTGCCTGTATCTCTGTATTATGTAAACTGTATGAATTATCTATTAAATTAAGTAGATGCTGCTGAGTGACAGGTAACCTGACCAATAGTAACCAGGAATGTCCTCAGTCAGTCATCCCCCCTCCCAAGGGATTTAAAAATTAGCAATGTTGTGAAGAAGTCAGTACAGGGTTAGCACCGGAGCAGGAAGGTTGTCATCTATATTGTAAGACTAAGGCTCCTATGTACACTTATGCTAACAGAAATAAACCTGTATTATAACTGAAGTCGTGAGTTTGTTGAGTGGAGACATATCAGATCCCCAGCATACGGTCAGAGCCTTCCCCTGGACCATCATACACACACACACACACACACACAAGGATTTCTTCCTTGCTCTTTCCTTGTAATTTTTTTTTTATTATTCACATATTGAATGGACACTTACATTAAAAGTACTGTACTGCAATTTAATGATTCTTTTAGATCAAAACTTCAATTTATAGGCAAGTTTACACACCTGGTGTTCAATTACTCCAAACTAAACAGGTTAGCACAATAGGCACAGCAGTCATGTAAACTAAGCAAACTGGCATCTGAAAAAAAAATAAGAAAAAGATAAGAAATAATCTGATATTCCGAAGCGCATACTGACACACACCTTGAAAACTGGTAGTGTGGTCCAATCTACCAGTGAATTCGGGATCATTCCATGCTTAATCTGGTAGTTGGGTAGGCCTGACATAAGTCATTAATTTTCTGAGCTTAAACTACCACAATCAGATAGTCAACTCTGTAAAGAAACCTTTGTGATGGCCTGCAAGAATTTTACAGATGATCGTTAACAAATAAAAATATGGCTAACAAACCCAAATAGGCTTCTGTCACATACCTCATCAGTCTGTGACACCAGAGACTAAGGGTGCTTTCCCAGAGATTTAGATCGATCTAAAGATTAAGATTTAGATCGACCTAACTCCCTGGGGGTTCACACTAAATTGCAGTCAGCCGAGCGGGCACCATAGTTAATTACCCCCTTACAGCTTTTAGTAGGCGGGACAGACGCTTAAGCCGGCCAAGCTGACAGTAATCTAGTGAGACTCCCCACAGGGATAGATCTATCTAAAAATCTATGGAAATGGGGTCTAAGAATGTACACTCTCCAAAAACCAAAACCAAAACTGTGACAACTTACAAAAAATTACTGACCTGGCTTTAGTTGGTTTTAATGGTATATGGCTTGGAGCCAGTGGTTATCATCACAGACTGCCACTGAAAATTGAAATAATTTCTAAATGAAAATCACAATTTGCTCTGGAGGTTCTGTTAAAAATGAGGTTTATTTTGTGAAAAGCAACTTACTTGACTCAAATTTTAGCATGTTTTGCCAAGTCCAATTTCAACTTAATTAAATTTGTGAAACTGACCCTTTGACTAAGTTAAGATAGTATAGTCAACCAAAGCATATGGACCCTGCATGCGTTTATGGGATAGCAGCAGTCCAGTGAGTCAGGTCATTTTACATTCCTGATCATTTTTTGTTCTGGTCTAGACTTGAAGGAAAAATATCTCTTGCCATTATGAGATTTAGGGTATTTTCTTTATGTACGTATACATTTATTGGGCAGCTGGCTCAGGCACACCTTTTAAAGGTTTTATATATTCACACTATTGACACCCTCCCCCCTTTATCAGTATATCCCCCATCCTCACCCCACACACCACCCAGTCATTTTTAGTTGGTGTGTAATTATACTGCACTTGCTTGTCACAGTATTGCATGAAAAAGAGGGGGGCATACCTACAAGTTTAACCACTGCCATGTATATTAATTTTTTAATTATAATTAGGAGGAATCAAGGGTGTGTTTCCAGTTTCCTTGCACCCCACTGGAGTCGTTTTGCTCTAAGGAAAGACGGATTGTACTTTCAAATTATTTTTCTGTGCTTGATTTATTCTTTTTCTATACTCTCTCTCTCTCTCATATATATATATAATTAAGGGGGGCGTCTCGATAGTCCGAAAGTTCATTGGTCCGAAGGTTCATTGGTCCGAAAAGTGGTAACATTTTCATAGATTTTTTAATCAAGGGTTCATTGGTCCGAAGGTTCTATAGTGAAAATTCGGACCAATGAACCTTCGGACTATTGAACCTTCGGACTATCGCTACGGCCCCTAATTAAGAAGCTGATTTTTAAAAAAGCGAAAACGCCCTGTAGGTAAATTATAAATTTTGGCAAATATGACGGTCTGAGTACGTACATGTCATAGGTTCCAAAATATCATAATTTCACAACCGAACTTTTTTACTAGTTATACTCTAACTAGCAGTAGAACATTTCGCTGACATTTAGATCGTCTGTTGTGACGTCACCACCGTAGCAGCACAAAGCATAGAAGTAGAGAACTACTTCTATGCACAAAGTAACAACAGTAAAAAAACCCGAAAAGTAAAATTGTTAAAGACCGATACTACTGCCTATCCCGATATTTTCACACCCAAGATAACATCCGCCACTTGAATAACTCTGAAATAATGACAAAAGTTGTCTTTTGTTCTTTTTGTTACTTTACCTCTGTTAGCTCAAGATGAAAAATGAAACTATGACGTACACACAATTCGAAGAATATCTTATCGCACACCTGCTGTACATCACAGGCACGTGATCGATACCGAAACCGAGCAACATTCCTCATTGGGGAATCCCCTATTGAAGTGGCAGCAGGTAACTGAACTGACCTCTGACCTCTCTGGCGAAATGAAACCGCGTTAAAAATTATTTATAGAGGGGACATTAAAATAATTATTTAGAGTTAAAAAAAAAAAAAAAAAAA